TATATATAACCCTATATCTGACTCTTTTAGTTTTAGGACTTACAAACAACCGTTATGTGAACAAAACTATAATACTCTCTTTAGCAAATTTGTTGCGAGAATATAAAAAAGGGTCTTTCAGCATGCYAGACCCTAATGAAAAGTAGGAAAAAAACATCAACATTTAATGACTGAGTCACATACAAGAATGAACAATTATGTAGAATGCTGATAACGTTTATTACGGCTCTTGTTGATATCAGCATTAATATTTTACTCCCCTATTCTATATGACGACTAACGGCAGATCACGTTATAATGAAAGCCATTTCTTTTATTTCATTTTCCTATTCATGTAAAAAATTTTAGCAATGTTCGGAAATAATTGGAATCATGCTTCCCGTCTCGACATCCTGATAATTTTGATATACAAAGCTGTATATTTTATGGACTTACAAGCATGTACTAAACAAAGCTCTTATAGTCTTCGCATCTTATTATCATTCGAAAGAACATTCTTTGGAATTTATTTTTTCGAACATTAATTCATGTAATAATGTGTCATGTAATTCACGGTGCCTTGTCCTGATGAAAAAGGATTTTTTTGTTTCAACTGGTCCAAAAGGCAATAATATTCAGAATTAATTTTTTTTTTACCAGTTTCCAAGTAATCATCAAACAAAATTCCTCTCGCATCCCAAAAAACTGATGCCATAAGCTTCTTGGCCGATTTTCAGACACGAACTCGTTTCGAAGCCGAACAACCAGGTTCACACTACTCTTTAGCCTCTTGTTTTGATTCAAGATCATGGTGATAGACCCAAGATTCATCCACAATGATGAATCCGGCACAAAACCGACTTTATCTTTTTTAAAACGCTCCAAAGGCGCATTCGAATATGTTTTTGTTCCATTGTTAGCGAATGCGGCACCTATTGTGCATACAGCTTTCTAAAACTCAAATTCTCACTTAAAATAATCAAATTCAATGCGCTTTCGTCTGTTTACAAGTGAATATAATATATGGTTTTTATCGAGTGACTCTGCCATGATATCATGCTTTTCGTAACACTTTTCTAGCAGTTTCGGCAGAAATTATTTCCTTAAAGGTTATATATACGTTTTCAATAATATTTGTGGACGTAATTCGAGGGTTAACTTTCACAATATTTATTATTTTGCGTTCTTCCCGGATTGATAATATTTTTGGATGGCCAGATCACGAGTTTGACGTTAAAATTCCGGTGTTCTTTTGAAATTGTTTACTACACGCTAGACTGAGGAATACGATCTTCCAATAGCTTGCCCAAGTTTTCTGAAACTTTCACCATCTTTCCACAACTTAATGATAATTTTTCTTTCCGACAGACTAATTTCTTCTCATTATTTCTAATTTAAGCAAACTGAATGCAGACTTTGTGGTGCTTATGTTAACTTGTCGTTACACTAAAATCCCGTTATCATAAAAATGAAAGTAGATATATATTTTTGTTCTTGCAGTTGGAACTTAAGAATATAAGGAAAAAATACATACATGTAAACAATTTAAACTGAATTGCCTACTAACATAGTGTTTTTACTTCACTTAAAAAAATGCGTCAGGTGAGATTTTATTGGCTATGTGTATGTCCGTAGAGTTTGTGAAGCATACAATTCTCGTTTGACTCGCTTTAGCATCCTTACTCGTTTGTTTGGATGTGATGTATTTATAAATATCTCTCCATTACTCGCCTTCGATAAATACGGTCCCAAAATATTTTAAGCTGCTTCTTGAGCTGTTATTTTGATTCGTTTACAAATTTGTTTCAGATGTGCTGCAGTTTTTATACCCTGAAAAGGGTATATTAATTTTGTCACGAAGTTTGTAACACCCAGAAGWAAGCGTYGGAGACCCTATAAAGTATATATATAAATGATCASTATGTTGAGCTGATTCGATTTAGCCATGTCCGTCTGCCTGTCTGTCCGTCTGTCTGTATATATACGAACTAGTCCCTCAGTTTTTAAGATATCGTTTTGAAATTTTGCAARCACCATTTTCTCTTCAAGAAGATACTCATTTGTCGGAACTGCCGATATCGGACCACTATAACATATAGCTGCCATATAAACTGAACGATCGGAATCAAGTTCTTGTATGGAAAACTTTCACATTTGACAAGACATATTCACGAAATTTGGTATAGATAATTTTCTAAGGCAATAATGTAATCTCCGAAGAAATTGTTCCAATCGGTTAACTATAGCTTCCATACAAACTGAACATATAGTTACTAACATAAATGCACCTGTGAAGGGTATTTAGGTTCGGTGCAACCGAAGTTAACGTCTTTTCTTGTTTTTAATGGAGAAATTCCCAGCATTTATCTATTTTCTCTATTGCTTGTCTCAGTAGTGTTGATGAATTCCTCTTCCAATAAGCAGGTCTCTTACTGCTACCTCATCTGCAGGATCAGTAATAAATAGCACAGTTTCCTAGTTTCTTACATTTGACAGCCAATTATTTGACATTTGATTGTGCTTAACGTAGAGCTCTGTACCCAACAGATAATTCAGTGCCTGCAATTTTTTCGCTGGTTGCACTGCCTCCGTCATAAAATTTTGCTGATATTCCAAGCGGCGTTTCAGGTGCACATGAATAATAAAGAATTTGTTTCCGATGTGCTGCAGTTTTTTTAATAAAGAAATTCCCAGCATTTATTTCCTTTATTGCTTGTCTCAGTAGTGTTGATACGCCTCCTGGATTGAATTCCTCTTCCATTTCCTGTACATTTTCCTCACGAGCATTAAGCAGGTCTCTTACTGCTACCTCATCTGCAGGATCAGTAATAAATGGCACAGTTTCCTCGTTCCTTACATTTGCCAGCCAATCATTTGACATTTGATTGTGCTTAACGTAGAGCTTTGTTGCACTTGAATAATATGGCTGTTGTCAAATCTTCGTGGCAGCATGGTGACTGTCTCTACAACAGAAACCGGGATATTTACTACTGCTCCACGAATAGCACATTATCGTTCATATCCTAAGGATATGATGCGCATAAATGGGATTCTCGGGGATTTTAGCATTTGCCCCAGGCAAGTTAAATCCGGAAGAATATCGGGAAACTTCAAGACTTCTGAGAGGCAGCTTTTTGATAATTTACTTTGCTTGAAAATCCGATACAAGGTGGTGCTGCAGAAATTATATTTTTGGTCCGAAGACGGAAGCTTCGGTGACATGTAAAAAAAATTTTCTAGCATCTTCCGAGTGCATGAACTTTGATGAGGTCTGACGTTTTTCTAGATTTTTTACACGCATTTTTCAGTAGGCCCTTTTTATAAACAATGCGTACATATCAAAGAAAGTTCCCGGCGTCTTCTTTTCTTAATATACCTTGTTCAGGGTGTAAGAATTAAGAGTTAAAAACTAATAATAAATAAATAATACATTCCAAAAAATAATGGTAATTAAAGAAAAACGGATTTTTTTTCGATAAATTTCAAAGTTGCTTGCGTTGTTCAAAGTTTAAGCTGCACGCTTAAACTGAAGTAACCCGTTATGTTTACACCCTATTTATAACATTTTTAGAACACTAAATGTAAAATCCTTCCTGTTTTTACCTGGTTACACTTTACCTAACCTTCCAACTTTGTTTTTTACCTATATTTTGTTTTGTTCGTACCTATCAGTTAATTAGGGTTATAAAACAGGACAATTATGTTTACAAAATTATCTTCTGCTAGATTTTGTTTTTTACTCACCCATCAGTTAATTAGGGTTGGATAATTATGCTTACAATGTTAGTTATTCATAATCATCTGTATTAATATTAATAAATAATAGCATATCTGGAAAAATTAGGATTGATTTATTATATGACTAATGCCATATACATATATTCTTGTCAGTTTACAAGACAGCTATATGATATAATTGTAAAATTTCCCTGTATCATTGTCGTAGACATTAAGCCATGCGAAAATTCATCAATATATTTTAGTAAAAATATAAAATCGTTAATTACAAAAGAGGCATTGTAGAGGTTTTTTATACCTCAGTTATACTTTCTACCTACCCATCGACTATCTTTAGTTAATTAGAGTTTTAAAACATGATAATTATGTTTAAAAAATTAGTGCTCTATTATTACTAATATACTTTTATTGAAAGCTCAAATTGGAAAGTAATTATATAATAACCGATTTGTTTAGAATATATTATTTGTATAGTGGTTAATTCCGATTACAATATAAAAAAATAATGTCGAATATTAATTAGTTCCGTTACACCTTCAAACTATATTACATTGCATTGGATCGCTATTTAATGAAAAAAGTAATTCATGTCAAATTTTGTGATGATATTTAGTCTAAGTTGCCCATATATGAACTTGATTATGATTGGTAGGTTTGTATAGAGTCCAACCTTAACAATTCTTTTGAAGATTAAAGTGATATCTTGGGCAATAATCCATACTAAATTTCATGAAGATTTCTTGTCACATAAGGATTTAATTTTGGTTTTTCAGTTTGTATGGACGGTTTTGTTATCCGACCTACAAAATTTCTTCAACTATTGTAGCGTTGCCTTAGAGAATAAACCACGACGCCTTTGCAGGATATATCTCGTTAAAGTCGTAAAAAGTCTCCAATGCAAGCATTTGACTCCGATAGTTCAGTTTGTTTGGAAGTTATATGGTATAGTTAACCGGTCTGAGCAATTTCTTCCCAGATTACATTATTTCATAAGTCATACCAAAATTCGTGAAGACATTTCTTCAAATGAGAAAGTTTTCCATGCAGTAATTCCAGTAATTCATGTCAAATTTCGTGAAGATACCACGTCTTATGCGAAAATTTTCCATACAAGCCCATGATTCCGATCGTTCGGTTTGATCTGAACAATTACTCCCGAAATTACATTACTTCTATAAATAATAACTCATACCAAATTTTGTGTAGATATATCGCCAAATGAGGGCGTTTCCCATGCAAGCATTTGATTCCGATCATGTTTGTATGGCAGCTATATGCTATAGTTAACCGATCTGAACAATTTCTTCGGCGATAACATTGTTGTCCTAGAAAATAACCTGTGTCAACTTCTGTGAAGATACATTGTCAAATGTGAAACTTTTCTATTGAAGAATTTAATTCCGATCGTTCAGTTTGTGTGGCAGGTATATGTTATAGTGGTCCGATATTGACAGTTCCTACAAATGATCAGCTTCTTGAAGAGAAAATGACATTTGCAAAATTTTAAAACGATATCTTAAAAACTGAGGGACTGGTTTGTAAACAGACAGATGGACAAACGGACATGGCCAAGTCGACTCAGTTCAACGTACTGATCATTGAAATATACACTTTGTAGAGTCTCCGACGCTTTCTTTTGGGTGTCACAAACTCCGTGGCAAACTTAATGTACCCTGTTCACGGTATAAAAATAAATCAGTTGAAGTTTGATTATAAATACGAAAAAACTTTTCCGACTACCCAATATTTTGGTATACAGTTGCTCTGTAGATAATATACTCGCACTAGTATATATTTTAATAAGAAATAAATAGCTGATAAATTCGGGAAAGGCATCACTACTAAATAGGAGAGAAATACTTAAAATATCATTGTTTTTTCTTTTTATTGATCTAATTTTAAGATTGCCGACAATCACGCCAGAAGAATGTTGTAAACGGTAGCGCATTTTACTACACTAGACTTCAAACTTAATTTGACAAGCTTTTGGAATATAATATTTAATGCGGAGCTTTCAAGAGGAAGTTTAAAAGCACACACTTCTTTATCGGCATTATATCAAAAGTATTCCGTTCCCTTCATTGATGATGCTTTATTAACGCTCTCATTAAAATACTTACACGCCGTGTGCGATACCGACTTAGGTGCCCGTTGATTCACTGAGTTTGGCAAGGTAAACACTGATCGACTCCTCAAATGAGCAGAGGCGCAAAATTGTTGGCTATAAAAATGTTGGCTGAGAAAAATCTGTGCTCAGTTAGTTTTGGCTGCCGGGCCTGACAGTCTGCAGTAACGAGTAGTGGAACGGTAAACTATGCAACGAAAGCAAACTCGCGAATATTAAAACTCCAATGCAGTAAAATTAAATAAAATTGTGCAAATATTATAAATATGAAAATACAAAAATTTTAATTTCTTCGATGAACAGCATATTTTCCTAGTGCCGTTGTTAAATTTTCAGTTCTAAATTGAATTATGTCCATATTTACGTACGACATAATAATATGAAGATAAAATAAAGAAAGATTGACTCAATAAATTCAAAACATAAAATTATATATTTACGTACGCCTGTGCATAAAGTTTATCACATACTTATTACGTATTGATTGAAATGTAATTGTGTGTTTCAGTTTGAAGCGGTTTCAACCAGTTCCACAATAACCGTGTGTTTGTTTAACATTTCCTTTGGCTTTGCGTAAGGTTTACCCAAGCCAACACCAATAATACCACCGGCACAAAAAGAAAAGTCAGTTGTGAATTGAAGTGCTGAGGTTAGCCGTGAAGCAGCGAAGCATAACAACAAAACTTAGGAGCAGAAGGTGAGTCGTCAATGCGCGATTTATGCGAATACTGTTAGCAATTATAGTTTTATACCTTAATAAGCACAACAAATAGTTTCAGGTTCTTAGCTAATAACCACATACTAGAGGTTTGAATAGATTTGCATTAATTAAACACTTACTCTATGAATTGCACTGACGTAGCGCGTTGTTGCAACATGTGTACTTCAAATGGTTAAGCGGACATACACATGAAAATGTTAATTACTATTCCGGCGATTGCCAAGGCTTAACCATTTTAGATTTCCACTAAAAGAGTTAGAATTTATGTATTGTAAATATATGCTTAAAGTATATACACATATAATACGAAGTATAAGTTTGCTTATGTACCATATGCATTGGTGTGTGTCTACTGGTAAAGTCTATATTCATTATCAGATATAATATGTACATGTAAGTCTTGCAGTGAAAAGAGGTTCAAGTTTTCAACGATGGATCATTAATAATTTTTTGATAAAAACACGGAAGACTTGAATAATGTTCAAAATATCACTCTACTCTTGAGTATATAAATATTTAAATTAATGTGGCAGTTATGTAGCTCATCTCGTAGTACATCAATTTGTAAAAAAATCAGTTTTTCGTATAGTAAAATAGTTTTTAACTAGGTGACTGAACTACACTGTACATATACACATATAGAATGACAAATATGTACGAATACATAGCTATATATTTTGGCGAAGTCATAAGGTAGCACTGTTCATTTGCATTAAGTCAATACTTTATTCAGCAACATCAAAAGCTAACTGCATTCGAAGAACTATTAACTATTGTTAGTGCAAAGTTAAATCAAAATTAAAAATATTAAAAAGAATTAAACTCGATCCATTTAAACGTCACTAATTCAGTGAAAATATCCGGTATACACAAACATTTGCATATGTATGTATAAGTGCCATATCATCATTCTGCTCTCTTTAACAAAAGAATGAAATGCAGAAAAAGAAATTTACCCGGATGTTGCTTTAGGATATGAAGATTCCGTAAATGTTTGACTTATAAAAGTGTTTAGTAGTCTAGTGAAGACCACTTCTTATGCTATAATAAAAAAGTGAAATGTTGTATACATAATAAATTTAAATAAAGAAAGAAAATGAAGTTTTTTTTAATGATAGTGGTAATGAATTTTTAATGATTAATGAATAAACAAAGGTTGACCATTTTGGAGGAAATCATAGTCAATTGAAAGGATAATTTTATTAAAGATATTATTTATTGATTACTTTATTACGTTAAAAGGTCTATTCGACATAATTCCGTGTGAATCCAAAAAATGATATGGCAACCTATGACACAGAGATTTGAAAACGATTGGATGAAATGTCATTAAACTTTGTCATTATTCGAACTACGGTTAGTACTCTCGACCAGGCAAAGAGTTCTAGGTTCTAGTTTTACAAAATTGGATCTTCCTAGCTTAAATCGTATATTTTTTCTGTGAGCGTAACAATGATTACATTCCTGCCATTTACAATGCTAGTAGCCTTGTATGCATCAATATACATATCTAAATTTTGAATAGTGAATTTCCAAGTTGCAATTATGAAAGGCAGTAAAATAGACGTACAGTACTACAAACAATAATAAATACATAAGTCAATGCCAATTTCTATACATTCAACAACACCTCACGTACTCATATTACACATACATACATACGACTGTGCTGATATATGTATCTCTAATTATTATACTCTTACAACATGTTGCTACAGAGTATAACAGTGTTGTCACCTAATGGTATCACCATAACATAAAGCATAAGTATAAAATATTCCCGAACCGTTCGAGCTAAAATACCTACACTAGCTCATAATAAATCCCACAAAAACCACTACCGACAATGTGAAAGTGCTACTTCAGAGATTTTAAATTTTACTCTTAAGATAGTATGCGACATCTTTATAGGAGCCGGTTTAAAAACAGGACAATAAGCGTGGCATCGCCAATTTTTAAGTGAAATCACATACCTCTGTACCTGCTCGATTGATTCTAACCGAATTCGATACTTAACATTCTTATTTAACAGTGTGAAAATGGGCGAAATCGGACTGCAACCACGTCTATTGCCTTCCCTTAGCTTCCACATACCTAAAACAAGGACTTTCGAACTTCCAGTTGACTTTATACTGCATATATCAGGGATAAGGGAGCAGGAATTATGTCTGGCATATATCGATCAACATGCAATACAATAAGACGTATGCGTCCTTATGTAGTTATGCATGTACATATGTATGTATATCAGGGAGTAAGTGTATGGTAAGCGCAAAACTGGCTATGACTGCTCAACAGTACCGAGACCTAGTAGCTCAGTATGACGTATGCAATTTCCTTGATTTCGAACTTTGGTATACCCATAAGTTGTTGTTGTTACTTTGTTCAAGAGTTAGTATTATTGCTAGCGGTTCCACGTATGAGCTGGCTGCATAATATGTTGCTGATCGGGTATTCACTGTGTCAGCGTAAGTAAACTAGGGCCCAACAACGCATGTGACCCGCGGTCGTGAATTGACTATACATAACGAAGCGACAATGACAGCAACAAAATTTCTTCAGGTAATATTACATTAAACGAACGTATGTATGTACATACATATGTACATATGCGCAATTAATTTATGAGCTGAAGCAATTGCTGTTTTCTTTATAGTACAGTACTTTTGCGATTATATATCAGATTTTTGACTGGAATTTTAATTTTTTGAAAAAAAAATGTGTTCATCTGTCTATGTCAATGTTGTTGCAATCAAAATAGTGCCCATTTGATTTTATGCACTTATCCCAGTGCTTCTTTCAATCGTCAGAATATTTTTCAAGCTTGATTTTTGAGGTAACTTGTAGCTCTCTCAGCTATTTTCACTACCTTTTAAAACGACGGTGCCTTAACGTTTTCTTTATTTTTGGAAATCGAAAAAAGTCACCTAGCGCCATGTCTGGGAAATATGGAGACTGTTGCATCTTTACTATTCGTTTTGGTCAAAAATTAACGAACAATTAACGAACATATATACATACATATGTATAAAGTTAATTATATTTATGTTGTTAACGTACTAACTGCTTCACTGATATTCAAATAATACCGTAAAAGTAATACCCAATACAATATCGCTCCAGTAGCATTGCTTATGTTGCGGATACCTATTACTCTGATCAAGAGATCGTGATAAACATAATCTGTATTCTTGGCTTAGAGTACTATCGTAATATTGTTACTGCAATTCTGTCCAAGTTGCGTGACATATAATATCATCATAATTCTATAGATGGTCTCAGAGTACCCTTATCTAGTGGTTTTGAAAACGCAGCGGTTGCAAAACCACAGTAGCATAAATGTTGCGTTAAATCTGTATCAACATATTCAAAGGTGAAGTATTGGTTTATTAAATTTCGTAGCAACCGTACTTAGCAAATGAATCACAAAAAACGCGGAAAGTTTTGTTGAGCGATCGAAGTATGTAATTGAGTGAATTATCATTAGATTCTCAAAACGAATCACATTAACGAATTTTTGCAAATGGAAAAAACGATGATTTTTTTTTCAAAGCCTCCCTCAACCATGGTAAAAAATCAACTGGCGCATTTGTGTCCGTCCTTATTAATTAAATTTTTCAGCCTAAGCATTCTTCTTTACCCCAGTACTACTTTATTTTTAGCAGAAAGAAATGCACTTGTGTACTTTCTGTATAGTCTCTTATGACAGTAGAGTGGATACTTTGAACATATATCCGTCTACACAGACACACTCTATTTGAACAGCTGAATATGAAATTTTGTGCAACTTCAGACTAAAGCACTTTATTATTTCTTTTTTAAACTAGTATAAAGAGTTCTGTGTACTCTTTCGAATAACTTGGTGTAACAGGAGGCTATAAGAGGAATCAAGTGCTTGTAGACCTTAATTATGGATAAATGGCCAAAAAAGAAAATAATTCAAATTAATTCTGAAAAGATATGAATTTGCCTCGAAAAGCCATTATGTTCCCTCAATATTTTAAACGAAATTATAAGAAAATGCTGAGTATACCTAGTACCTCCTTGATATATTTATCGTGTACGCCACTAAAACTTTAAGTACACATTCACATGATAAATAAGCATAGCAATTATGCATGTACTTGTTTATGAATGCTTTTATCTCGACAATAATTTTAAAATGTGCAATCAGTCTAACAATGGTTTATGACATGGCCAATAAAATTGTCTACTGAGATAAACTGTAGTATACATATGTACTATGTATTATTTAATCAACTTCAAAAATTCGCATATTGTAAACTTTTATTTAAAAAGTAGAAATTTCTCCCGTCTTCTTTTTTTGAAAATAATTTTAGATATCTCAATAGGTAAATCTCAAAATAATAAATGGGTTTTGAAAAGTTATGCTCAAGCTAACTTGACCTAAAATATATATGCAAATATAATAATATATATATATATATATGTATATTAAGGTGGGTCAATAAATGATTTCTTTTTGCTTGGTATTCTGAAAAATTGGTTCTTAAAGAACTCTAAGAAAATATATCCAAGCCTAATTAATTTTAACGGAAAGATCCTCAGTTTCACAGTTTTATATTTTTTTCTTATTATCAAATATAAAAACTTAAATCTCACCACCAATCATTTGAAAAACGTATCTAGTTCATTAATTTGTAATTTCATAATTTTAAGGCGAATTTTCTTTCTAATGAATTATATAACTCAATGAAAAAAAACGTTATAAATTGGAAATCTTATAGTTTTGTAGAAAATTTACTATTCTACATGGTCCCCCATTCGTGAAGTAATTGATTATTTGGAATTATTTCTATAGAGAGAATTTGCCACTTTAACTTTTTGTAGTAAGAAGTGGTTTGAGGCTAATCGACTTCGCCGGGGCCCGAAATATGGTTGTCTGTAGTACAAGATTCCAGCATAAAAAATACATTAAGCTACCTGGCTCCGGATCAAAAGCCACCAACCAGAAA